AGGAGCTTTATTTTCTTCAGGAAGTGTACTGAAAGCTCCACTAGGACTGAATATACTTGCTGCTAAGAGTTAGCAATGAGAAGTAGCTATTAAACACCTTAGTGGTTTCTCAAAACAGAAACTATGACTAAGGTTTTTATCACTCTGTAGTTGTTGCTATGGATTAATGTTTCTGAACGAGTTTGACACACCAAGGCTAGTGATTTGTGTACATTTACTCATAATAATAACAATAACACAGACTCATTATGAATGCTGTGGGCTGTTTTTCTCAAGATGACTGTGTTGTATTATTTGCAGCCCCGTGATCTGGCAGTGCATTTGTGTGGAGTGGAAATGTAGATGACTCAGTATGACTGCTATTGAAATCAGACGAAGCTGCATTTTCCAATTGATTCTTTTAGAGGACGGGGAAAGTGAGTCAGTGACAAAAGTATGTTATATTTATCAAAATAAAATGTTCCTCCAAAGCTTTTTAGATATATCCCTCGTCTACTGAGGTCTGTACGGGTGTCTTAGCCAACTTGAAACATGTTTTACTGCTTTGAAAACTAACATGAAAATGTCTTTCTGATATTTGTTTAGTTTTGCACAAGGTTAATAACGGCTGACTCTTTGAATTTAAGTATAATAATAATAATAAAGCTTTATTTATAGCACTTTTCATACAACACATGCAGCTCAAGGTGCTTTACAAAATGACACAAAAATAAATAAATAATGGTTTCTCTCTGACACATAAGACACAAGACAACTGAGTCGATGCGACAATATAAAACCCCATGAAACCATGGTCTTACCAATTAGGATTTGTCCACATTTGATGGCCGGGCTGTTGGGTATCAATCCATGGACGGTCAGTCTGTCCTCCTGTCGGACCTCCGGAGGGTCCCCCAACCCTCGGCTCCAGGAGGCTCGATGCACCACCCCCAGCAGCGCCTCCAGCAGGCCTCCACCTTCACAGAGCGGTGCAGAAGACCCTGCCAGACGTTTGGGGTTGAGGTACACACACACTTCCTTCAGCTGCTGGACCGTCACAGCCTGCCTCTGACCCGGCTGGTTCTTCAGGATGGACGCTGGAGCAGAGTTCTCTTTACCCTCATCCTTTCCTCCGCCTTTGCGCTGAGATGGCCGACGTTTTCTCCTCAGGATCCTGGCTAGCCGTTTGAGCGTGGGTTCGCCTTTAGTCCGAGAGGCGCATCGCTGCTTCTTGTTTTGCTCGGTGAGGATCTCGGCCTCCTTTTCGCTAAAGCGGACGTGATTAGTGGCCACACTTTGATTGGCGTTGGCCAGTGCAGCCTCCTCTTCGCCCTCACTCAGCTCCAGGTAGAAAAGCTCTCCGTTCTTCTGGATGTCGTCGAGCCATTCTGGTTCCAAGTCACTGAGAGAGAAAAGGGGATTGAAAGACGCGTACGATTAAAAGGCAGAGTGGTATGGAACTGGGAAGAGATGGTAAAGTATGAGAGATGTACCATCAATTGTACTTAATATGATGTTACAGGATTTTATAACATTTGGGAGGTTGGATATCTTGATATTACTTCTGGTCTAAAAGGCTATGCTAAGCTTAGGTGAAATGAGTGAATATGTGAACAATAAATGCCTCCCCTTGCCTGCCACTATATCAATATAACTGTTTCTCTCCTGAAAGGAATTATGGTGAAATATTATTTATGAAGTGTCAGTATTTAGGCGATGCTTGTGAAAATGTGTGCAACTTGTCTCCAAATTATGAATCGATACTGAGACAATTTTACTATTGTCAGAGCTGTACATGTATGAAGGAAAAAAACTAAACTATAACATGTACAAAGCATGATCACATGCATGTCCAAAATAGTGTATGTTGTAATAGTGATATTTCCGTGTGGCTTTTCTCTATTTAAACCTGATTTGAAGAAGCTGTGGTAAGCAGCTTTGATGTTTTATCCATAAATGTACTGAGGGTGGCGAGAAGCATACAATTATTTATGAAGGTTTACGTCGCAAATTGAAAACAGTCCCCAAAGAGCCATGAAAAGCAAAAGGGAGGAGAGATGGAAACTGAGTGGATGTGAAGACACACTCCCTCAAAGCTGGACACATATTTACATTAACAAGCACTTCTTATGATCACAAACCAACTTAGCTTCTTTAATCAAACAGTGCTTCTTAAAATAAAACTATGGACTAACTATTTAAGACACAAAAGAGACAAATAATGTAAGTATTTAACAGAAAGTCAATCAGAACTTTGTTCGTCTACAACAGTAAAATGCTACACGATGCAACACTATTATATATTTAGGTCACATATATAGATATAATTATATAAACACTAAAAGGCCATTCTTCTGCAAAATGATTACTTTGACTTGTTATACTTTAAGTACATATTACTAAGAATACTTTAGTACTTTTACTTAAGGTTTTGAATGCAGGACTTTTACTTGTAATAAAGTAATTTGACAATAACGTATTGTTAATGTTACTAAAGCATCTGAATACTTCTTCCCCCTCTGAAGGAGCCACACCAAAGCTCAAGTTTTAAATGGGAAAGGAACACCATCAAAATGTTTGAGTGTCGCGTTACAGGATCTCCTGCTAACAAACTTTTCTGTTTGCTAGCTAGTTCAAACATCTGTCAAATCTTCAGTAGATTTACGGGGTTTCATAATGTCAACTCCGCGTATATACGGTGTGTTTGTTTGTTGTCTAAAAGAGGATAAGTGTTTGTTTGTTGTCTAAAAGATGATACATTATCTTCTTACTCTGAGTAGTCGGAGCTGTTGAAACTTGATGTGGATTCACAGTCAGTACCGTGCATTTCAACACCGTCTTCTTCTGTTTTCCCGCCACAAACATATGTATCGATACACTTTCGGGCGTCTGCAGTCGCCATGTTGATTACGAGACGTTTTATTCCCCATGCAATGCGAGATACTTCTTAAAAAAGCTAAACTTTTTACCAAAACAAACGCTGCTGTTCTGTCGCCATGTTGGAACTCGTTGACGAGCTGACTGGCCACGGTGTGATCACGTGATTCTAAAGAGAGCAATCTGATTGGTGGACGGTGCAGTTGCCCCTAACAACACAGAAGCTTTCTGTTGCCTTGCTGTCTCGGGCATGGGCAGGCAAGTGCGTGCTAGTTTACTTGGCAGCACGAGACTCTCGCACGCTAAATAATGTATTTACCACACATAAAACACCAAATACGTTGTTTTACAATATCTACAGGAACATTTAATTAACCCTATACACAAAAACACCGGGTAGGTACAGTTTATTAAAATAACACGGTGTAAAATACATCAGAATGTTTGAGAACAACGCTTGGAGTGGGACTGAGGATACAATAACAACTAATTAAATGAACTTTAGAGCGCATTTTTACAATTTTTTGTACGTTTGTGGCATTTAAAATGTTGCATATAATGTCCCCTCTTTCTCCACCTCCCTACCGACCTGCACGAGTCATTTAAATCCCCTCCGGTATTTACCAAAGCCACTACGACCAAACAAAAGCACAACACTTTAGGTGTGTGTAAAAAAGAGAAAATAAAGGTAATTGTGCCATCCGTGCATCGTGTGAATTTGCTACTGACCTGTAAAGAAGAACACTGCGAATTGAATCAAAGTCCTCCAAGTTTTTAGAGAATGATCCTCCATCTATAGAAATGTTAAACATCATTTGTGCGTCATGTTTTATAGCCCCGGCAATAACGCTGCGTTAACTCCAATTGTCCGGTGAATGAAGATGCAATTTAAAACTCCAAAAGAGCCAAAAAAACAAGCCTTAAAAAGCGACAACAATGATTAAAATGTATTCCTTTGCTTTGACATGTATGTAGTTTCTGCGCCACCATAAAGGATGCACTGCGTCTCAAAAAGCGCAACGAATCCTGCTCCAGTTTCTCACGTCAATCACTGGTTTAACACCGACTCAATTCAAAGAGAGCAGAAACACACTGGTGCTTTTTTTTTAAAGTTTTGAGTGTTTCTCCAGGCCAGCAGAGTGGAATTTGTCCCACTGGTTTTCTTGGCAGGTGGAGCAAAACCCCGCCTACTCTGGGCACCAACAAAACGCTCTGCACACAAGCCTATAGGCCTACTAGAGCTGTTTTTATAAGAAGTAGGCTATTCAAGCATGGGAAAATAACGTTACTTAATCCCAACAACAAATCACGTACTATGGAAGAAACACAACATGTAACAATTTCGGTTTATATCAGAGTTACATGCAATATAAAGAATTTGGACTATATAAAATGGTATAATGCACGCCAAATAAGTGGAGGAAGTAATCAAATACTTTACCCATTACAAACAATACAGTAGAGAAGCAGAAACAGGTTTATTGCCAACACATACGAGGAATTTGTCTTGGTGCTAGTAGTATCATATTGTAAAAATACAAAATGAAAAGTAGACAAACGGATCACCGTTAGTGGCTTATTAAGTTCTTAAAGAGAATTATTTATTTTACTATACATCACTGTGTTGCCATATTCACTTGAATACAATATTAATAGTTATTCAAAATCTAGGTAAGCCACTTTAGGTAGTTTATTATTTAAAAAAAAAAAGGGACCATATTTTATTTGACTAAAGGTGAAACCATGACCATATGAAAATGAAGTAAATAAATTGAGTGGAGTAAAACGACAATATGTCCTTATACAATTACATTAATGCACACAATATACAACATCAATATTTTGTATTACTGCCTATTTTTATTCCTTCTTATTCCATTCCAATGTAAATACTGTTATATTTTTAATTATTTGTAATATTGTTCTAGTTCTCTACCTGTGTTTTTCATTCTTGTTTTACTTTTATGTAGCACCACGACACCAAGTCAAATTCGTCGTACGTGTAAACCTACCTGGTTAATAAACCTGATTCTGGTATATACGAGTATATAACCATACGCAGGTCATGTTGACATACAGGTTAAAATGACTAACCAGTAATGACCCATATATTCATCATGATTTACTTTAAACACTCTTGCACTGCCACTCTGAACATACTCTCTCCCTCAAAGCCCCCAGAGGAGGCAGTGAACGGTCATCAAAGGCAGAGAGCATAAGAACTGAATCAAGACTCTCTGCCAGCTTCGCGCTCAGGAAAGAGTATCACCGTCTCTTCATCGTGGTTAGCGAGACCAATCACTTTAGAAACACATTTCTCAAGTCAGAAACTATAGAAATGATCCCTGAAAGTATAGTCTTAACCTTTACACTGTGCTAGCCCTATTACTAGTATGAAGGACATGCACCTCTCAGTCATGGTGCTCACTGCCTCAGATCGGGTTCAACCCCAGTTTAACAGCCACTGCTTGTGTCCTTGCGCAACACTTCATCCTAAATGCTCCTGTGGGTTTTGTCCACAGTATTGATGTACATATTACATGTCTAATATGTAATATGTAATTTAAAGCGATTTGAGGACTTGGAAAAGCGCTAAAATAAATGCAATGAATTAGTTATACGTCAGATGGTAATAATGAGAAAATAAGTATATTTTAGCTGCTTTTGGTAGTTTATTATTTCAAAAAGGAACCATATTTAGTAGTTTTCGTTTTTTTAGATTATTTTGTTTATTTGTATTTGGTATATATACTTGTCTTTATTATTTTTAAAAGTTAAATATTATTTTTCAAATAGTTTTCACTTTATAATCTTTATATTTTTGAGCTTCTCTTAGAGCTTACTTTCTTATGTTGTTTATGTTTGCACCACCATATATCAAAGCACATTTCTTGTATGTGTAAACATACATCTCATACTCTATTCTGATTATGATAAGAACATAATGGGTTGTAGGTAAAACAATAATCTGCAAAGTAACTATAGCAAATAGTGATGTTACGTTCGCGAACGATCCAATTCTTTTGAATGGCTCTTTGGTACGAACGAAGGGAACCGAGTCCTACTTGGTGAGAGCCGCTCTTTTTATCGTTGGTTCACTGCCTATACTCCAGGCTCACCAAGCTCGTGGCGAAAAGGCTTTGCATTGTGGCAACGTCAGTTCCATCAGAGAGAATATTCTCCAAGACTGGACAAATCTTCTCAGAGAAGAGAAATCGCATGAACCCCTCAAAAGTAAGGAAACTTGCTTTCCTGAATGCAAATTTGCCAGTTAGTAACACCGCCGCCTTTAAAAAAAACGGCTCTTTTGAACAGCTCTCGGAAAGGAACGGAGCCATAAGATCCGGCTCCCTTCAAAGAGCCGTAATTCCCATCACTACTTCTTATATCCTTTTGCAATTGGTGTAAATTATAAATACATTGAGTCAACAATCATGTGCATATATTAATACAACAATCACCTAAATAACAATAGCATATTGTAAACAACTGTAGGCTACACTGTAGCTACACTGTAGTAAACAATCAAATAAGAATAAAGTATTTAAAAGGAGAGGAGTAAAACGTTCATGCATCCTTTTGCAATTGTTGCAAATACATATACATTGAATAAACAACCATGAGCATATTATGATAAAGGAATGCCTCAATGACACCGATGTCATTGAAAACACTTTTGGCTGATTCCCACTTATTCATCTTGATTTATATTGAACATTTAAGCACTGCCACTCTGAACATACTCTGTCCCTCAAAGCCCCCAGAGGAGGCAGTGAACGGTCATCAAAGGCAGAGAGCATAAGAACTGAATCAAGACTCTCTGCCAGCTTCGCGCTCAGGAAAGAGTATCACCGTCTCTTCATCGTGGTTAGCGAGACCAATCACTTTAGAAACACATTTCTCAAGTCAGAAACTATAGAAATGATCCCTGAAAGTATAGTCTTAACCTCTACACTGCGCTAGCCCTACTACTAGTATGAAGGACATGCACCTCTCAGTCATGGTGCTCACTGCCTCAGATCAGGTTCAACCCCAGTTTCACAGCCACTGCTTGTGTCCTTGGGCAACACTTCATCCTAAATGCTCCTGTGGGTTTTGTCCACAGTATTGATGTACATATTACATGTCTAATATGGCGATTTGAGGACTTGGAAAAGCGCTAAAATAAATGCTATGACTTAGTTATACGTCAGATGGTAATAATGAGAGAATAAGTCTAGTTTAGCTGCTTTTGGTAGTTTATTATTTCAAAAAGGAACCATATTTAGTAGTTTTAGTTTTTTTTTTAGATTATTTTGTATATTTGTATTTGGTATAAATACTTGTCCTTATTCTTTTTTTTAATGTTAAATATTTTTGGGAAATATATTTTCTTTTTAGAATTGATATATTTTTGAGCTTCTCTTATAACTTTTTTGCACCACCATATATCAAAGCACATTTCTTGTATGTGTAAACATACCTCTCATACTCTATTCTGATTATGATAAGAACATAATGGGTTGTAGGTAAAACCATAAAGTGCAAAGTAACTGTAGCAAACAGTAAAATAATAAAGTATATAAATTGAATGGAGTAGAGTAAAACTTTCATGTATCCTTTTGCCAAATGTAGCTAAATACATAAACAATGATTAAACAATCATGGGCTCTTAGTGATGTGTCGGTCGCGAACGAGCCGATTCTTTTGAACGGCTCTTTGGTACGAACGAGGGGAACCGAGTCCTACTTGGTGAGAGCCGTTCTTTTTATCGTTCAATCGTTGGTCTGCACTCACTGCCTGCCAAAATCTACTCGCCTTTTAAAAAGCTTGATTTTGTTCCCCAAACGTATTCTGTGAAGACCCGCCCCTACTCTGTTTGGTAGGTTTCAGCATGTTTCAGCACGAGGAGTGAGATGGGGTGGGTCTTAACGGAATACGCGAGAGAGAGAAGTCATAACAAGTGGTACAGGACAGGTACAGTAGATGTGTTTTTCGGATGGAAAATGAGCCAAACGCGAAAACGCAGCAGCATTTGGATTCAACCAAAACCCAGGCAGTGATAAAGCGCACCATTTGTAAAGGCAAAATATCCTTTAAAGCAGGGTCAACAAATAATCTCCATCGCCACTTAAAAACACAGTATCTAATATTAAGAGTTGCGTGAATTTCATTCAAGGCAAGGCAACTTTATTTACTTAACACATACAGAGGGTAAATTCAAAGTACATTCACTGACATGATGACATGGATATGGCGCCACCTTGTGTCACGTTTACAATGCAGATTATTGACATTAGGTCTGGCAATGCAGTCAATCATTATCCTGGTGATTATTTCGCAGATAAACCTAGTAACCCCGCCCCCTTTTTAAAAAAACGGCTCTTTTGAACGGCTCTTTGAAAGGAACGGAGCCATAAGATCCGGCTCCCTTCAAAGAGCCATAATTCCATCACTATTAAAGTAATAGAGTGCCTCAACAACACTAATGTAGTGATAATCACTTTAGGTTGAGTGCACCTATCCATCATGATTTATTTTAAACACTTTAGCACAGCCACTCTGAACATACTCTCTCCCTCAAAGCCCCCAGAGGAGGCAGTGAACGGTCATCAAAGGCAGAGAGCATAAGAACTGAATCAAGACTCTCTGCCAGCTTCGCGCTCAGGAAAGAGTATCACCGTCTCTTCATCGTGGTTAGCGAGACCAATCACTTTAGAAACACATTTCTCAAGTCAGAAACTATAGAAATGATCCCTGAAAGTATAGTCTTAACCTCTACACTGTGCTAGCCCTACTACTGGTATGACAGACATGCACCTCCCAGTCATGGTGCTCACTTCCAATACTTTACATCAATTGATATTATTGAGAAAAAAAGTCTTGGTAGTTTATTATTTCAGAAAGGAACCATATTTAGTGGTTGTCGATTATTTAGTATATTTTGATTTGGTATAAATACTTGTCTTATTTTTTTATGTTAAATGATTTATTTTTTAATATGTTCTTTTTAAAATCTTTATATTTCTTACCTTCTCTTACAATTAGTTTTTTATGTTGTTTATGTTTTGCTCCATACATCAAAGCAATTCCCTTGTATGTGTAAACTCACAGCTCCATAGTTTCTCTTTTGTTAACTGGACTTCACACTGTACATTTATGTTTAATTTAATATGGCATTCCTTGCTCACTTAATGTACATAATATCCTACTTTTATATTGTGTTAGCATTAATATCACTCTTCTATTGTATTTTATATGTCAGATAGTTTACAGATTTGTATCTTTCCGGTCAACTTGAATATTTTGTACTCTTGTTTTATTCTCTATTTTGAGATATAAACATTTTCTACTCTTTTTAATTTCTTATCATGTGCAATGCCCTGTTTTGTATGCTGCCGCATCGAATACATTTCCAAATTTGGGATCAATAAAGTATATTTGATCTTATCTGTTAAGGTGCTCACATCAAATACTATAGATCAGATAATAATACAAATAATAATAACTAGAAATTAAGTCTATTTTAGCTGCTTTTGGTAGTTTATTCTATCAAAAAGGAACCAAATTTAATAAAACCATAATAGGGTGTAGGTAAAACACTAATCTGCAAAGTAACTAGGGATGGGTATCGAGAACCGGTACTAAGTCAGTACCGGTAGCCGATTGGACGGTATCGGTATACCGTTAAGCCGCTGGACAAACGGTGCTGCTATCGGTATATGAATTACGCTATTTCCCACAATTCTGGTTGGTTGGGAACCCTCATCCCGTGTGACGTATCCGGTTTGAGTACCCCTCTGATTGGCCACTGTGAATGCCACTCGTCATCTCTCCTAACAGCGCTCTTATTACTGTGAGACTCCCGGGGGCAGACCATAGGGGCAGACGCAACATCTTGCAAGAAACAGCGTCTCAAGGCTTCTTAACTATTAACAACCTATTAATGATGCATACCCACTTAACGGGAAGAAACTCAGCTAACAGACGATATTAACCATTTTAGCGAAACGGTCTAACGGGGCAAACGGCTACTTTAGCACATAACTGGCAAAAGCGAACTTTTCTACGTCATGCTGGCTGCACAAACGACATATCACATGAAAGCTGAGATTCCAAAGATTCCATATGTATAAGTCTCATCACTGTACGACCAAAACTCACTGAACTAGCAGCCAGGAAAGAGCAAGAAAACAACTTCACTTTACGTAGCCATGATGATAATTATCTTACCTTTGCTGTTTTGTGATCAAAAGTTGTGTTCAAGAGGCATAAAAACGCTGCTGAAATGTAATCCAATGTCTCTGTGTAACTTTGAAATGATTACTGATAATCCATCATTACAATTATAAATAATAAACGCAATAAACGGATGATAATGG